GGTCAAACATTTCCCTCCTAACTTTCCCCTCATCATAAATTCTGGCAATGTGTGACTGTTAAAGGAAAGGTGTTAACATGCCTATATTAATATGCATCAGGGTTAATAGTATTATCTTAGGTTATACTTACATCAAAGGCTGATTAACTGTTCAGTGAAATCATGTGATAGGAATATTAAGGAAGAAGCTACTAGATACTATCACCTTCTTTTAATAAAAGTATCATTAATGCTTCTTAATTACCTACAAAATGTGATTCCCTTAGCTGGAAGGTCTGACTCTCTTTAACAATTTATTGCCAGTGAGGGCCAAGCAGGTGCACTTTATAAATCTATTTCATTAATTTGATATATTTAATAAGAAAAAGGTTACTCTTCAGAGCCCAGACTTGGTGAACATATTAGCTTCAGAAACTGTTAGAACTTTTCTGTTCCTACCACTTTTAATATTAAATTCTCCATGGCACATTCCCCTGATTCCTTACAGTTCTACTTAACATAAACCCAAACCAACAAAACTCAGATGTCAAAAGTAGACCTGAGAATTTGCATCTAGTAGAAAGAGCCCTCTAGAAGTTCCAGTTAGCAGTACGTGAGACTCACAAAGTTTTAAAGAAACATCCTAAAGTTCTGCAGAGTTAGGCTTTGCTGTACAAGGACTTCATTCAGAAAAAGGGATAGCTATGCATGCTTTGTATCAGACAGTAGATACTTTGGAAGACCAGTGGCAGAATTCTTTTCTGTAGGTCAGAGGAAGAGATTGGGGGGACAACATGAAAGTCTCAGAACTGTAAGGTACTGAGCACCTTCAGTTCCCATTTAGTTTAATCATTATTGACAGTACTTGTCCCTTCACAGGACTGGGCCTTACCACTGACTTGAAATGATTAGGTCAGTAAGAATACTGCCCAGGTTTGCCGGACTCTGATCCCAGATGTAAAAGCACTGCATTGGTAACCATATAAATTTAATCCAGCCACCTACATAAGATTTCTCTTAGGAGGCTAGAGGAGGCTGAAGCCCAGGTGTGGTTGTAGTATGAACCATTTAAAAAGACAATGCATTCTAAAGGAAAAAATAACAGATATCTATCTATGTGTTCTCTGAGCTAGATTCTCCCTTGTGGTGAACCCCAGCTCAATGCTGGGGAAGAAAGGAAGGCGCTAAGGAGCAGATTATATTCTCTAATGGTGCAACGCTTGCCCCAGTAAGAGCAACTAAAGGGCTGCTCCTGAAGACCCAACAATAAGAGAGAAAAAGGCTAATTGGAGTTTTGCCATACCTTCCTGCCCCAATCCACACTCATCTGGGGAAAGGCTGACAGGCATAGGAGCTAGCTTTGCTGGCTTTACATCACCACAGAGTTTCTCTTGATGGGGGAATTCTTTGCTGTCTGGCTTCAACCAGAATATTTCCCATATACTGTATGGTGTAAAACCCTTAATCCAGCCCTTTCATTCCATCCAGCTATATAGTACCAGCTATAGCCTTCAGATGTTCCCAGGCCAGGCTGGAGTTCAGTGAACAATGCAGAAAACTTTTATTTTAATCTCCATGGGCCGAGTTCCTGATCAAAATGCTGTAATGCTTCCACAAGATGGCTCCTCCTGTACTAATATGTAGTGAGAGGCAAAGCCCAGAGAATTCTAATGGCCCATTTGCATGGAAAGTTAATGCAGAGTAAGATGGATGCATTTGTTATTCCACACTAATTCCCTGTGTGGACATTCTTATTGCTTAGAAAAAGTGCCCTCAAGTGGCTTGGTGTGCTACAGTGTGCAAGAAACTGTCTGCACTGGGAATTAGTGTGAAACAGCTAGCACATTTTAATTCACAGCCTAGCTTACTCTATCTCAACTTGACACATAGACAAATCCTAGGACACTAAGGCCTAGTCTAAACTTAAAACTTATACCAGCATACATTTGTTGCTCAGGAACATGAATAAAACATCACCTTAATGAGTGGCTGAGCAGAAAAAGCTCCCAGTGGAGACGCAGCAATGCCACCAGAAGAGAGCTTCGGTCAGTATAGCTAATGTCCTTTGGAGGGGGAAGGGAGGAATTTTTCTCTGCTCACGGGACTCCTGGGGCTTTGTAAACATAGGGGCTGTGTCTCACTGGCCGCGAGTTCTTGCGCAAGTAAACTGACGTTCTACTGTACGAAAACAGGGCTTCTTGCGCAAGAACTATGATGCTCCCATTCAGGAATAAGCCCTTTTGTGCAACTGTTCTTGTGCAAAAGGCCAGTGTAGACAGGCAACATGAATTTCTTGCGCAAGAAAGCCCTATGGTTAAAATGGCCATCAGAGCTTTCTTGTGCAAGATAGTGTCTACACTGGTATGGATGCTCTTGCGCAAAAGCACATCTCTTGTGCAAAAGCATATGCCAGTATAGACGCTCTCTTGCACAACTACTTTAACACAAGAACATTTGCACTAAAGAGTTTTTGCACAAGATCATGCCAGTGTATCGTAGCCCCCTCTGTAATGTAGACATTTTTTGCACAAGATCATGCCAGTGTAGACGTAGCCCCCTCTGTAATGTAGACAGCCTAAAAGCCAGATTTTCAAAGACATTTAGGTGGCTAAATATGCAAATTGGATGCCTACTGGGATTTTCAAAAGTGTCAGGTACCTAATTCCCATTGAGATCAATGGGAATTAGGAGCCTACCTGCTTTTGAAAATCCCAGTAGGAACCTATCTCCATCGGTAAGTGCCCACATACCTTTAAAAATCCAGCCTTAACTCTAACATAACAATCCCTTTTTTTTTTTTTTTTTGGATCACTGAGGAGTTAATAATGGGATAGGGAATGGTGAATGCATCCCTCTGAAATGAATATTCTCCTCTTTTGTGCCTTGTCTGTTTCTTCCCTGTCAGATGAACCCGAGGACAGATCTTTGCAAGGATCTCTTGGGAGATCTATGCTTTTATGTGCAAAACTCTATGAATTTGTTAAGAAACTGGAAGTGTTGGGGGTAAACTGTGACTCAATCTTCCTCCAGGGTATAAGCAGGAACTAGTAGAACTCTTGTATTTAATTAGGCCACAGCTGGGTCCAATGAAGTGTGGAAAGAACAGTTTCTTGACTCATCAGCTGTCTTTATTTAGCATTCCAGTCTCTCTTCTCTTTTTTGACCCATTCTTTTTTGCAGATATTTTGCAGGTTGCACACTAAACTATTCTACAGCATCTGAGAATAGTCAGCCAATCCTGTCATGAAAACTGGCTGGACACTTGAACAATTGGTCTTTGTAAAAGGAGACAATTGGTTGAATGGTGTGCCAAAGTGCGAGTCAATTGGCTGATCTGTTGCTACTTTTGTGGTAAGGGAGACATTTAAAGTTACAACAAAATCTTGAAAATAAAACATTTTTAAAATAATTTGTTTTAATTCATTAATATTATTTCTTAGTGCCATAAAATAGTGTGAGGGGGAGCACAGCAGAGGACTGCTAGAACTCAGTAACACAGAAGCCACCATCTCTTTCTCCTGACTATCTCCCAAGTGCTAGGATCCTGCAAAAAGGGTGGTATAGTGGTTGTGCATGGAGGGAACCATTGGGAAAGGGGTGTTTGTTAAATCAGCTGTGATGGGCCCAATGTGGGGGTTTGAGCTCCTGTGTGAAAGAGAGAGAGCACATGCTGAAAGAGGGATGTCTGTGTTGACAATTCACTTAAAATTTAGATTATTTAATTTTGTAAGGCAGATACTTTGGAGGGTGCATTATAAAAATTAGAACAGAATAAAGTGTGAGAGAGAAGAAAAAGTGTATTACTCCTCTCCTACAGAAACAAGCTGAAACCCACATTAAATTGAACAACAAACTTTAAAAAGACCTTCATCAGACCCTGAATGCTGTTTCTGAAAATGATTGATAAACAGTTATGAAACTGCTATCACACCCCTGAAGTTGTATTTCATTCTGTCTACTGGATGGTCTGTATAAATCATTTTCTCATGACAAGACAAATAAATAAGAGGCTCATTTCTCATACAGTTCAGGGTTTTCTTTTTCTCCTCTGTTTTTCCTCAGTCGCTTCCACACAGGCTAACAAGCCAAGTGGACTAGTCAGTTACAAGCCAGAAAGTAGTGATTGATACGATTCAGTGGCTTGTTTTGATAACCTGTCCCCTATTCTTCTGTGCAGGCTCTCTGGATGGGCTATTAATTGTTGTTCACAGGCACTGATTCCCCTGAGAGAGAGCTCCCACAGTTATGGAATATACAACCAGCCACCAGGTGAAAATATTGACAGCTCTTCCAGGGGAGCCTACAAAGAAACATGACATTTGGGGACTAATATTTATCGCTTGACAACAGCTGGCAAATTGTTCTCATCTGATTCGGCTGACTGCTCCTCGTCGGAAATCAATAGCAGATTGGAGATATTTCACTCCGTCTATTAGGTGCAATAAAAAAAATATATAACCATCATTAAAGCTAGGGATTGTACAAAAATCTCATTTGAATTTGGGCTGTATTCCATAACCCAAGTTACAGCCCTGTCTATCTGGGCAATAGGTGTTTATGACGTCTAGCCGGAGAAACAGGTGATGAAGTGTACTCAATCAGCTACCCAGAGAGCAGTTACTGAGATTTTGGAACCTAACATCTAATTGTATTAATTTGCTAATGTGCTGAGGTAATTTCATGACATCACAGCCTGGTTACCATGCATAGACATCAGGTGACACCATAAAAGAAAGTACCATATGAATAACACACTTTTTTGATGATGGGGTGGAAGTTGTTGAAAACCCAGTGGAATTCTTCAAGCATCTCCTTCCCATGGGTCCATATGATGAAGATGTAATCAATGTAAGTGTGCTAGGGGTGAGAGCTGAGGTCAGCCATAAAGATGTTGGCATATTGTGGGGCCATGTGGGTGCCCTTAGCTGTGCCGCTGACTTGAAGATATACATTGCCCCCAAATTGGAAATAGTTGTGGGTGAGGACAAACTCACAGAGCTCTGTAAGTAGGTGTGCAGTGGTATCATCAGGGACAGTGTTCCTGACAGCCAGTAATCCATCATTGCATAGAATGTTGGTGTAAAGAGTTTCTACATCCATGGTGGCCAGTGTGGTGTTTTCAGGAAGTTTACTGATGTTCTGTAGTTTCCTCAGGAAGTCAGTGGTGTCTTGAAGGTAGCTAATGGCATGTCTACACCGCAGGGCTAACATCAAAATAAGCTGTGCAATCTGAGCTACGCTAATCGCTAATTGGACAGGGAAGAGGGAGTTCTTTCAGAAGAAGAGGAGAGAGGAAGAGGCAGGGGGGCCCTGGTGGCCACTCCATCCATAGTAATCACAGGTTAAATGCGAGATAGCGTCCACACTGAATGGATGCTATCTTTTGAAAAAGCAGATCTCTTTTTTGATGTACTTTGGTAGTGTGGATGATTTTGAAAAAGCAGATCTCTTTTTTGATGTACTTTAGTAGTGTGGATGCTCTCTTTAGAAATACGTTTTTCTGGAAGATCTCAAGCTGGGAAGGGCTAGCCTCCCACTAGTTCGAATTAAGGGTCTACACAGCCCTTAATTCGAACTAGTAAGTTCGAACTAGGCTTAATCCTCGTGGAATGAGGATTACCTAGTTCGAACTAAGCGCTCCGTTAGTTCGAATTAAGTTCGAACTAACGGAGAGCTAGTGTAGGGCCTATGAAAGTTAGTTCGAACTAACGTCCGTTAGTTCGAACTAACTTTGTAGTGTAGACAAACCCGGGGTATGTTTACACTAGCCCCCTAGTTCGAACTAGGGAGGCTAATGTAGGCATTCGAAGTTGCAAATCAAGCCCGGGATTTAAATATCCTGCGCTTGATCTGCATCTTCCCGGCTGGTTGCCATTTTTTGAAATTTACAAGTCCGGACTAACTGCCCGCGTCTACACGCGGCAGGGACCCGGTATTTTGAATTAACGCCCTAAATCGAACTACCTGTTATTCCTCCTACAAGGAAGTTTAACAGGTAGTTCAATTTAGGGGCTTTAATTCGAAATAACGGGTCCCTGCCACATGTAGATGCGGACAGTTAGTCTGGACTTGTAAATTTCAAAAATGGTGATTGGCCGGGAAGATGCAAATCAAGCACGGGATATTTAAATCCCGGGCTTGATTTGCAACTTCGAATGCCTACATTAGCCTCTGTAGTTCGAATTAGGGGGCTAGTGTAGACATACCCTAAGGTGCTACAGGACTATTTTAAGTTTTTTCTGTTACAGACTAACATGGCTAGTCCTCTGACATGTTTTTTTGTTATACACCACAAGGATGTGTCCCAAGGGGAAAAGATAGGATCTGGGCATTTCTTTACCTCAGAAAAGGTCAATAAGTGGTTATAATAAGGTTTGGGACTGAGGAACAAGGGCCTTATTTCCAATTTCTGAATAATTTAAAAAATATATATAGAGAGAGACTCGTTTCTAGCTAAGATGTAATCTAATAAGTGACCCTAGATTTCACAAGCTCCTCCAACTACTACATTATCTTTCATTTAGAGGTTTGACTTTGTGTCATCTCCCTCTCAGATAAAACAGAATGTGGTCATTAGGAAAGGACCTCATTGCCTTCACATTCATACGTTGGCCAATGCAGAATGAAGGCCTTACTATAACTATCATCAAAATTGTACACCAAAGAGCAAATGTATTGAAAGATCAGTGCTGGGGCGGGGAATGGGCTTGAACAAGACAACCCTCCAGGTTAGGATGGAAATGCATTAACTCATAGGTGTGAGTGCCTAGAACTGGAACAGCAAGCAATGCTGGGGGTCAGGACTGAGATGCACTGGCAGAGCTGTATGACATGCCTTCCCTGGACAGCAAGGGTATGTCTAGACTACATTCCTCTGGCAACAGAGGCTTGTAGATTAGGCTACCCAGCATAGGCAAAGAAGCGGGGGTTTTAACAATCCCCGCTTCATTAAAATAAACATGGCCACCACACTGTGCCGACGATCAGCTGATCCGGCACAGCATGGTAGTCTAGACACGGATCAGTTGGTTGGGGAAGCCTTTACCGACCGATACCTTATGCCTTGTGAAACGAGGCTTACAGGATCGGTTGGCAAAATCTGGCACGATTAATGCAGAAGTGAGAGCCTGCAAAAGTACCCCAAACCCTTTTCTCTCCAGGCTTTGGTATAAAATTTTCCCCCAAAATCCTAAAAACCTAGATTTTGGGGATAAAAATCCACTGCCACCATCAAGTGCTTTTGAACCCACAAACAGGGGTGGACACTTGAAACCAACCCCAGAGCACCCCAAGCTCTTTTTCCCAAAGACCTTGAAAAAGAAAAGGGAAAATACAAACTGCAGTCTGTGGCTGCTATTCCCTAATAAGAGGCATGCAGATCCCACAGACAGATTTTCCAGGACACAGAACTGAACCAATACCAGGTTAATAAAAAAGAAAGAACTTTTATTATCAAAACAATACTCCAATTACAAGCATAGTTGGATTGGCTAGATGGTAAGAGACACCAATTAATATACTCATGGGCTACGTCTACAGTGGCCCCTAAAAACGGAAAAGCGATGCAAATCAGGTAAGTCAGCATAGGGAAATCCGCGGGGGATTTAAATATCCCCCGCGGATTTAAATAAACATGTCTGCCGCTTTTTTTCCGGCTTGGGGAAAAGCCGGAGGGAAATCCGCGAGGGATTTAAATATCCCCCGCGGATTTAAATAAACATGTCCGCCGCTTTTTTTCCGACTTTGAAGTAGGAATAAGAGATCCTCCGGAATAGGGCTTTATTCCAGAGGATCGGGCCAGTCTAGACGCTTTTTTTCCGGCTTTTCCCCAAGCCGGAAAAAAAAGGCGGACATGTTTGTTTAAATCCGCGGGGGATATTTAAATCCCCCACGGATTTCCCTATGCTGACTTACCTGATTTGCATCGCTTTTCCGTTTTTAGGGGCCAGTGTAGACGTAGCCATGGGGAATCCCATGAGCCAAAACTTAGTTACAAGAGAGGAAACCCCATTTCTAACAGCACAGACATTGGATTCACAGTTCCAAACCATAAAACAATGAAACAGATTTATCGAAACTTTACCCTACTTACAGATGGTGAAGAGTCTTTTCTTGGAGAGAGACATGTTGTCTATCCCCCTCAGTATCTGGAGAAAACTGGCTCAGAGGCAAAGTAGGGAAAACCCAAAAATTCCTTTGTCTCAGTTTGAAATCCCATCTGCATTTCTATTGGCTGACTCCTACCTGGCTAAGTACAGTTAACCCATTAGTTCCCTCCCCAGCCTGCTGGCCATCCCTCATGACCATGACAAGGGGTTTAATTGGCTGACCTGGGTTGTGCATGAGAAACGTGAACAAACCCTACCCATGTTATTCCAGGCATTAGGTAATGAAATCTGTTTACATGGGCTCTGACTCTTGGCACAAAATATGTCAAAAGAAGACAGTGAAAGATACCTTTACTTCCACTCAAAATGGCAGATTAGTCAGATTAGTGGAAAAGAATATTTTCATCAGTAGATAATTCAAACTCTGAAGTATCCCTTCAAGTGATTCACCTATATACATTTGTTTCAGACCTACTTCTTTGCTCTCTGCAGCCTGCCTCAGTGACTCACTACCAGCTAAGTTTTGAGAAAATTGGTGTCAAGAGAGAGACATGGTGTTGGATTTAAAACAGCAAAACTGATGTGAATAAGCAAAACGAGAAAGCCAAAATAAAATGGATCTGATTTTTCTCATCATCAACTGCACTCAACTCTCCAGGGAGTGGCAATCATGACAACTGATTTAGGCCATTATTAGGGATCTTCATTTTCAGTTTTTACCAAAACCTTCCAAAAATACCATGATGTACTCTGTAAATTTGTCCAGGCAGGCCCTATGCTTCTCAAGGCTTGGCTTTAGACCTTATTGATGGTCCTTTGGGATATTTTGTGTGAAAGTTCTACCCAGCAGCAAAATCCCAGCCAAATTTAA